CAGGGAGTTCCCAGTACATACTACTTCTCCCCGTTTCGTTTTTTCCCTTCTTTTCATGTACAGGGTGTAGGACTGCATACAGTAGAGTAGAGACTGCCCAATTCAGAAGGTCGAACGTCGTGGCGGTCCCATTGATGTGAGTATAAATACCCTTTTCAGGAGTATAAATGCTCATCATGATGCAGGTAGGACAGTGACCACAAGAATGGGACCACCGCCTGGACCTCCGAGTTGATCAGGATCTACTTCGATGAAAATGAGTAAATTTGTATTAGAACAGGTGAGAATTTCTATTAAAAAATAGAATATATTAATGTCTCTTAGTCCAAAGTAACAAACTTCATATTAGGTGCTCTGATACTTTTGAACGGGGATGTACATGCGCATATCTGTTTTACAAGGCCTGATCGAATCGATAGAAACGAAGTTCGAGTTTCAAGTTTTAGTAGATTCGGACTCTTGATTGTTCCTAATAAAAATTGAGTACGTCAGATTTGGTTGCATTCCCTTCTGTGGAGAGTCGGGGAAATTTCATAACAGATTTGCTTCGTTTCATTATGAAATACGGTATATTTACTCTTTGTGCCGCATAGCTATGTACGTAATACTACATTTAAGTAAACGCTTCCCACAGGGGACCTGATAAAGCTATAAGGTAAACGAAATGAAACAGCGCCTAGTCATAGTTTCGAATTCGAAATGTAAAAATATCTTCTTCGTGATATTTTTCTATTTGTCAAAGCTACTTTAACCTGGCATGATGTCATTTTTACCGGTGTCGGGTATTATTCAAATTTAGAAACTGGATATCGAAATCGACGTTCCATTAGTGGAAGAAATTTCCGTCGAGAGTCGTTTATTTACGAGTATGGATTTATGCAAATTTATTCAATTATATACTTTAATAGAAAGAACGCTCTTACATCCGTATGAATTGATATGCATTTCATTTATAAATATTCAAACAAAATAACTACCTATTCCTGCTTGCTTAGTGAAATTATACTGTAAATTGCAATTTAGTTTCGTTACTTTGATCATTAGAATCCGATAAATTTTATAAAATCAATACAACAGACACTGATTTGTGAAGAATCTCATGTCCAATAGTTTTCTATGTATCCTGTTTAGTTTAACGACGTTTATCCCTTCATTTACTTCTACACGTTTTATGCACATATTCGCATTGCATGTATACCTGCGGGACGGCCTGTGTATGCACATGTAATGTATACACTCTGCGGTTGTGATAAGATCGAGATGGAGCTTGCGCAATCTCGAGTAGCGATTACCACGAGAAGGCAGTGTCGTGGACAGACCCGTCGCCGCCACTGTCGACGGGTTTTATACATACATATACATATGTATGTACATACTACTTACATCTTCCACTCTAACTGTAGTCTGTACCGACGAATAAGAGTGTGCTCGTTACCTTAAAACCTTTAGGGCTAGGGCAAAGAGAAGCTTGCAACAGAGAGAAAACTTGAAATGATTTATGGATTTGTACCTCAAAGCTCGGAATTCATTGACCTCATTTTTTTTTTCAAATCTGAATAGAGGAGAGGAAACTCATGTAAGAACATCAATTTATGTACTCCAATTATTTGTTCAATTGCACACCTATAAAGTGTTTTATGAGAATGAAGGGATAAACTAAAAACCCGCAAGGCGACCTCGAAAGCCACACGTGGGCTTTAGAAAGACGATTACAAATTTCTCGGAAATGTTAGATAGCAATACGCAGTTCCATGAAAAGATACTCGACAGAAAATAATGTGGATGAGTAATGCCGATAGATTGTTTGGGGTTTTACGTAATTTAATAATATACATGGTCTACCTCTAATTTAAATAGATAACACCGGAAGCGATATGTGTAACATAATTTTCAACTTTTTCGTCTATTAAGGGGCTAGGTTAGTCACGTTACTTTTCTAACATTTGTCGGAAAATATTTAACATTTTCTTATGTTTAAAAGTCTTTCAAGTCGTTGCCTACTTCTTTGGAGAAGTGAAACTTAAATCTAGGGCGGTCTAGTCTTCATTTAATTCTAATTATTTAATTAATTTATAAATCGTGCTGTGACGTACATACATAATTTTAATCATCGGAGATTTGTGGAAAAAAGGC